GGGAGATGACTTCAAATCACTCAAATAGAGAATTAAAAAAAAATTTTAAGGAGGAAAATAAATCAAATTTAGTTATGCATTGATTTGTTCAAATACATACTGAGTTTATATTATTTGACAGATGCTGGGCTTTTGGGAATACCTTGAGGTGGACAAAGTCCCTGCTTTCATGTAGAATGTACACTTCGTAAATAATCTTATGAAAAGATGAATACTGAATGGTAAAATAAATTTTGGAGACAATGGCAGTTCTAGGTGTGGGAAATAGTTCACAATTTTGTTCTTTCCTTTTAACTCCAGCAGCCCCTTTATGAAAAATGGAGCTGACGCAGCATTGGACAGAAACTTCCTGATGTGATACATGGAAATTCTGAAATATAAAAATATAATAAATTATAAACACCTTTCTATCTACAAAAGATTGTCATGGCAAGGTGAATGTACTAAAATAGAAATGTGGTTCTGACAGTATGTTTCCTGAAAAGAAAATAATTAAAGACCGTTTGGAATACCACACTAGGCCAAAATTATGACTGCCTTTTATATAGTAATATATATAGTAATATATAACATATATATAATATATACCAAGAATTAAAGGTAAGAGACATTTAAGAATAGTATACAGTTATTTAAATACAATACAAAGAGAAAATAAAATTAAACAACTCCCTCATTTTCTTATTCTGAAGTTATTAATCTGCCTGTATGTTCATCCAAATTCTCTGCCTTTCATTCTCAGCAGAACCAGTGTCCCTGATGCTCCAGGAAGCCCAAACTCCCTTCTGTGCTCTGGATTCCATCCTTTTCAAAGCCTGTGCTCCTTCAGTTAGCCTCTCTCCTGCCCCATAAATCTGTCTCTTTCCCATGGTTATTCTCACCAGTGTATAACAATAACATTTCTAGAACTTTCTGTCTTTAAAGAAATTCTTCTAAGCTCTTGTCCCCCTTCAAGAATTTACTGACTCATTTCTCACTACCAATTTTCTCTTCAATCTCAAGAAAACCAGATTTGATCCCGTCCATTCCCTTGGAACTGCCCTTGTCAAAGTCACTGAGAGCCTTTATGTTATTATATACTCTATGTTTACTCTCATCATATTTGATCTCTCAGTAGCATTTGACATAACTGGTCATTCTTTCTTTCTATGAGGTTGAACTATATGAAATTTCTGGTTTTGTAGGTCTAAAGGGACTTAGGTAATTTCATTTGGCTCAATATAATAATAATAGTTTTATTAACTTCCATGATACCAGTGTCCAGAGTTTTATTCCTGCCTCAGTATCTATTCCCTATCAGTTTTATTCCTACTTTCATCACCTTTGCTTAACTCTCTCACAAGCTTTACTTTGTACTCTTGCTACAATCTCCCTCCAGGTGATCTCATTTGTTACCATGGTTTAAATACCCTTTGTGCTGATGTCTCTTATATTTATTTTGTGAGTTTCCTCTCCTATGAGATCCAGATACATATATGCAACTACCTACTCACCATCTACTTTTGATACCTAATAAGCATCTCAAACTTCAGATGGCCAAAAGAGAATTTTTGGTTTTAGCCTGACATGCTCTTCTCCTAGTCTTCTTCATCATAGGAATGGCACCATGGCATTGTCAATACTCAAGCACAAAGACTAGGAGTCATTCTGGATTCTAGCCTTTTCTATTTTCTCCCACACCTAATCTATAGAAAGTTATTTTCCTCTAACCCCCCAAATAATAGCACATTCCATCCACTTGTTTCCATTTATAGTACCAAAAGCCTAGAACAGGGGTCCGCAATGTTGGCACTACTGACATTTTAGGCTGAATCATTTTTCATTGTGTGGAGATGTTGTGTGCATTATCAGGTACTTAGCACCATCCCTGGCCTCTACCTATTAGGTGCTAGCAGCATCCCAGTCCCCAATTGTGACATCCAAATATGCCCCCAGGCATTGCCAAATATGCCCCAGGACCAATTGGCCCCTGGCTGAGAACCTCTGCTCCAGAGCAATCTGTCACCACCTCGTACCTGGGTAAGAGCAGGTCTTCTCGCTTCCACTTTTGACCTCCTACATGCAATTCTTCACATACTAGTAAGATGAGTTGTTTTTAAATCATAAATAAATTCATGTCGTTTTCCTGATTAAAACATTTTACTCAGAATAAAACCAAATTCTTTATGTGGTTATAGCCATTGTTCACATCTCTGATTTCATCTCATATAATTCACCAGGTTCCAACCCCACCATTCCTCAAACGTACTAGGCTTGTTAGATTCTAAGATCCTTTGAACTTGTTCTTCCCTCTGTCTGGAATACTTCTCTTACCAACTCAGATCACAGCTTAAATGTTTCCTCCTAAGAAAGTAGATCATAGACAATTTATGTAAAAGATCCTGCATCCTACCACTCACAGTTGTGCTCTATGACATTTTCTTCTTAGCCTTTTCACCAACTAGGATTATCTCATTCATTTATTTGTTTGTGTTTATTGACTGCAGATTTCCAGTAGACTGTAAGCTCTGTAAGAGCAAGGAGCTCTATAAAAGCACTATCTTTCTTGTTCACCACAGAACTCTTCATGTATATTATTTGTTGATCAAATAACTAGATAAAAATTCAAACAAGCAATTTTATATTAATGTGAGTTTGAATCACATTATGGATAATAGTCACAGCTGGATGTGCCAGCAATCGACTATAAGCTCTTGGGTGATGTTGTAATAAAATAATAATAAATCCTAGCTGTATGTCTCTCTATTAGGTAATCTTCTGGTTCTAAAATTTACCTGGTAGCTCCTCAAATCTCTTGATTTTATCATGTTCCATCTATGTATAAAATAGTATCTTGACACTTTTCCTTTTCTTTGCAGAATAATTGTCAGGATTCTCCATGGTGATGGGTACGAGTTATTTCAATAACTGACTTTCTTTGCTTTCCCTAGCATAAAGTTTCCAGAAAACAAAAATGGAGTCAAAAAGTTTTGTGTGGAGTCTGCTGAGAAATCCAGCAATCCACTAATAATAGCTATCTCAGGATTAATCTACAATGTAGATGAAGCATTCACCTAAAAAAAGTACCTTTGACTGAATATATCTTTGATTTTTCAGTATGGTAAGCTTGGAGATATATTCAGTGTAACAACTCTTCACCAAATATTTGTAAAGAGCCTACTGTGTGCCGGGAAGTGCTCTGGGGTTTGTGCAATTTCACTAATCATTTCTCCTGCACTTGTAATCTGATGTTTAGATTATCCAGTGAATTTTTTATTCCAGATATTTTATTTTTCCATTTTAAAATTTACATTTCTTTATTTTTTATTTTCATCTCTCTGCTGATATTCTCCATCTGTTCATTCTTATGACCATGCTTTATGTTCTTAAATGTACTTATAATAACTGCTATAAAGTTGTTTTAATTCCAACATCTGGATTTTCTCGAAGTCTATCTTTATGTACTGGAGAATTTTAAACAGAAAAGTGATATACTCTGAAATTATGAGGTTTCTTTTAAAGTACTACTCTGAATGTAGTAAGTGAATCTTAGGGGTATGCATATCAAAGAATGGGCACCATTTATGAGGATAACATTATAGTCAGATGAGGGAAGATGGTTGTTTGGTTTTGGGTGGTAGATACCACTACTGTGGAGGAGATGGTTCTGACAGCGGGGTCTTAATAATAGATTGGAATAGATTATAAAAACACACTTTTTATAATTAGTCCACCCAGACTAGATATCTTTTGTAATCAGTCCACAGGAATTACTTTTCTCTTATTAGCAGAGACGTGCACATCTGTATACGTAAGACCTTGCAATGGAGTAATATTTGCAAAAATATCACTTTGGGTCTGATGAGTTCAGACAACAAAGTTTAGTAAGACGACAAAAAAAAAAGAGCATTTTTAGTAGCCTGAGTGCTAATGAGCAATAAAGGCCAAAGGATGGCCTTAGCATTCGTTGCTTTAAAGCAGTAGTTCTCAACTGGAGACAAATTTGCCCCCTGGGGGATAGTTGGCATTATCTGGAAACATTTTGTGAATGTCAAGATCAGTGAGGAGTGGGGTGCTACTGGCATCTAGTGGATAGAGGCCAGGGATGCTGCAAAACATTCTACACTATCCAAAGCAAGTCCCCATGAAAAAATAGTATCCATTCCAAATGTCTACAAAGCCTGTTGAGAAACCCAGCCTTAAAAATTATTATTTATAAGAACAGGAAACCCCTAATATCTAAAATCTAATATTATGTTCAGACTCATGAGTATCTTCCCATGACCTGATGTTAAGAAAACTTTGTTCATAGTGTATGTTTTTCTAATTCCAATAAATCATAGTGCCTTACAGCGTTAATAAGGCAGAGGATTATTTCATTTGAAGTAGATCGCTTTAACTTGCTTAAAAACAAATACTCGTTTTAAAGATACAGTCCTGATTTTTACTTTAAAACCCGTTTGTATTCTGCAATTTCCAATTCAAGTTCTCCCAGAAAGTGCAACTCCATTACTAGTGATATCGTGTTCCATGGAACTGAAAAAACATGGAATGCTGAGCCTTGGGTCCCCCCAAGTCAGCATTTTAAACTCCGCTGATCTTACAGTAACAGCTTGCCCTCTTGCTTTGAAGATTACTGCTGCTATCTTCGAGGAGGGCTGCATGCCTCTGCACCAGGCCAACAGGTAACGCAGCAGGTTCAGTCGGGCCTCGCTACGGCCCCAAGCACAACTCTAAACTCTCGGAAAACACCACTCATTCGAAGGCGGGCGGAGCGGGGTGTAAGGGGCGCCCCAAAACCCCTCCCCGAGCTGCGGCCACGCCACAACTGTGGGTTGGAGGGGGCGGTCCGGGCGGCCGGCGCAGGCGCTGGCCTCCGCGCGCACCCCAACGCCAGCGCTCAACCTCCGCGGCTGGGAGGAGGGCGCGCCAGCTGCGGCCGCCAGGGCCCGCCCCTTCGCCTTCCCGAGCGGGCGGACGAGCCGGCGGCGCGGGGAGGCGGGGCGCGGCGGCCTTGGAGCTGGCAGACGCTCAGGGGAACATGGCGGCGGAGGAGTCGGCGGTCCCGGCGCTCTCCAGCGGCGGCGGCGGAGTGGGCGCGGGGACCCCGTCGGGTACGGTCCCTGTGCTCTTCTGTTTCTCTGTCTTCGCGCGGCCCTCGTCCGTGCCCCACGGCGCCGGCTACGAGCTGCTCATCCAGAAGTTCCTCAGCCTGTACGGCGACCAGCTCGACATGCACCGCAAATTCGTGGTGCAGCTCTTCGCTGAGGAGTGGGGCCAGTACGTGGACCTGCCCAAGGGTTTCGCGGTGAGCGAGCGCTGCAAGGTGCGCCTCGTGCCGCTACAGATCCAGGTGGGTCCTGCAAGAGGGCCGCGCGCCCCACCGCCGCTCCCGGTCCCCGTGCGTCCCTGTCTCTGCCGCACTCCTCAGGTGCCCCGCGCCGCGCGGACGCCGGGCCCTGTGCGCCTCGCCGGCTTGGAAGGGCCGCTCGCTATCGCAAGCGGCAGGGACGGCCCAGAGAATGTGTCCGTCCAAAGGTGACGGTCACCAGCTGTCCTCGGTCGAGGCGGGGGCGTGGGCCTCCCAGCTGGTGGCGGCGCGCGCGAACGCCCCCACGTGTCTGGTCCTCAGCCGCTCGCCTCCGCTTTGTGTGCCAGGAGCGAGTCCATCCTCCTGCGTAACCAAAGCGCTGTGCACTAGTGGCTGTGCTGTTATTAGGGGTGATGCGGCATTGGGGTGGGGGAAGAGAGTATGGAGAGTATTGGGTTTAGGGTCTGTTCCCCAGAGTTGTGTTCACCACTTGATGAAACCCAAAACTTCGGTAGTCAGACCCTTTCTTTCCCCCGCCTCCCAGCTTTCAGTTTCTAGACTTTAAGCTTCCCCTAACCTAAAGTAAAGTAACCATTTGCTTAAGCGTTTCCTAGCTGTTAACTGAATCATTTAAAAAGTCATTTGACTCCAGGACTGCAATACCCTCTTAATATTAACTTTAGCTAGACCATGATTTCCTGCTCGTGCTGGCTGACAAAGTTATTATATCTGGGGATTTTTTTTATAGCTTTTTAATTTTTTTTTTAAAACAGCGGTCAGTCTCCCGTCCCTTTTTTAAACTCAGAGGATTCACTGGAGGATTTACATTTTTGAAAAGAAAAGATGTATACTTTAGTACTACACCATCAACATTTTTCCTTTGCTGGAGAAACTGGTAAGCCATTTCTTCGGAAGACCAAACTGAAATGTGGGATTCGAGGTTAGAAGTGTTGTTTTCTCAGGATCATTCTCCAGTTGGTTTATTTTTCAGTTATAGCCAGTTGTGGAATTGGTCTTATATCCTATCATCCCAGCATTCATGCCAGAAGCATCCAAAGCAGGTACTTTAACCTGGATAAAGTTCCCCTGCTCAGACAAAGGCTTTAAGGGTCCATTGTCCACCTCTGCAGAGCCTAGAGGAAGGCAAGTGGTCTCTGATGCCTAGCTGTCCTTATGGAGAATATGGAGGATTGTGGTTCGTAGGTGTCTACTAATCCCCGTTCTTGTCTTTAGGAGTTTTATGTGGCAGTTAGAAAAATAGTCACTGGGGTGTCTGTTCACTGTGTTGAACCCCTGAAACTAATATAATAGTGTATGTCACAAATAACTGAAAAGTAAATTTACAATAAAAATTAAAATAAAAATATTTTTTTAAAGAATTTTCATGGCTGGCACCTCTCTGCAGCCTTCCTTGTCAGTCTATTTAGGTTATTGCTGCCAAAATACCTAAGAAGTTGGATGCACCTTGAAAAACCCATTATTAAAGTCAAGAATCTAAATACTAACTGAGGAGATCTGGAACTGTTTGAGGATGCAGACTTTTTTGTGATGATTTCAATGATACCCTGTGGTGGTTGGGAGGGAGGGTGGGCTGTTAACCTGATAAGACATAATACCAAACCAGTGGCCCCCCTGCCATCTAACGTTCCCCCCCCCCCAGGATAGAATTCTTTTATTTTGAAAAATTCAAGGCCTGGGCCTGACAACTTTTTAACTAAACATCCTTATATGTGTATACTTGAAATATCTGGTACATTATCAAAAGGCATTATGTAATCCAGGTCACTTGTGGATTTTGAAATATTTTGCTTGGTATAGGAGATAAGATATAGTTATTTTTCATAATTATGTTTAAAATAATAGCACTACCCTTTTTTATCTTTTAAAAAATTATTTTCACTAAATAGCCTAAGAATTCTTAAGTATCTATTACATAATGCTTTATATATTTTTAAATTAGAAACATTTTTATATTATCTTTAAGTAATCATAGTATTTTGACTTCTTTAGCCAGGTGCCTTGAAAACAGAGAAAGTGGAAGGATACGCAAACATACATAAATGCACACACACACACAACACACTTCCCACATGAACGAGGGGAGACCAAAAAAACCCCAGAATTTATTTATTAAAAATTATGTATTTATTCTTACATGTTTAAACTTCAGTCAACTTCAAAGTACTCTTCATTTGATGTAATACAGCTATCGGGCATTTTTCCCACGGCTCAAAACAGTTTTTTGAATTCATCAATTTTGATGCCTTTTTGTACTTCTGTTTTTTGTTTCACATCTTCCATTTGCAGCAGATGTTTCCTTTTGAAGACTTTTCATCCGGGGAAACAAAAAAAAAAGTCACTTGGGGTGAGATAAGGTGAGTGGGGGGTGGGCAAGGAGGTTATGCCATTTTTGGTCAAAACCTGCTGAACGCTAAGCACAGTGTGGGCAGGTGCGCTTATAAATCACCCATCATGAAATGGGTAAATGCATTGAAAGTCTCCAAAAAAAATAAAAATAAAAAATCACGGAAGCCAAACACAGCCTCTCAGAACAATGCCAGCTGGTATACAGATGGGTTCCTAAAACCTCACCTAGTGGCGGATGCCTGTACTACAAGGGGCCTGTCCTCCAGAAGATAATTCCAGGGGTTTTTTGGTGGGGGCGGGGCACAGGGGCCCACCTCATAGTCATATACCTGATACCTATTTCTGTATGAGAAAATACACAAACAGTCTCCCAGAAGAAAAGTGCAGCTATTTCTTTTCATGACTTTTATATATATTTTTTAGAACACAGCTGTATAATCCTAGAGGCATGGACATTTTATGGCTAGAGGAGGCCATATTGTTCATTCCACAAACATTTGAGTGGCAGCTCTAACTGCCTGACAGGTGAATGCAGACATGAAGAAGACCTAATTCTTTTCTTACCTAATCTAACTTCATTTTGCAGAAGAGCAGAACATACAGGGAACTGCTCAAGATTCCATGGTAATGGTGGAGATAGCAAAGCATGGGAAGGTCCTCCTTTTCAGCTGACTATAGGAGTCTTGAAAATACCAAGCAGAATGGGAAACAAGCCATAGACTTGAGCTTGTAGATCATTTGTTTTGATGGTGTTCTTTGGAATAGGTGTCTGTCACTTGGGAAGACTCAAGGCGGCCACGCTCCTGGGATGGTAGGCCCCTTCCTTCTCCCAGAGGCAGGGACAAAAAGAGCCTAAGTTAGGCCACGTATAGGTCAGAGCATAAATAATGTTACTGGTTATTTCTGCAAACGTAAGCGTCAGCCTCTGTGGCACTGGCTCACATACTATATACTCTAGAATGTATTGTCCACGTACATACGGGTCTGAGTTTGCTTCTCTGCTTGTTCTGACTGCCATTGCTAGTGACCCTGTAAAACAGTGGGTGCTTGTGCCACACTGTGCACCCATGTTTGGTTAGCAGTTCTATGCGGACTGATCTTTAAGACCCCCATTGCCAATTTTAAGCTGTGGTAACTTTTTAATGTCGTCTTTTCTGAAATATTCTGTTACAGGCTGCTGAAGAGAGCTCTTGTTTCAAGCATGGTTTATGTGTCTTTAGCTTTGTCAGAACGCTCCAAGTCCGAGGAATTTGGAGACCTGGGAGAAGAAATGTAAATGAGAGGATTATGCAGTAGGAATTTAGGTCACCTTTATGACTTACAAGTTTTAATTTCCCAAAAGGTAGTTGCCATGTTTTAACTAATAGAAACATTCACCTCTGGAAACTCATATAAATTTGATATCATACCACCACCAGTGTGTTTTCCAGCTTTGTCACCAGGGGAAGCGGAGCCCCAGTAGAAGAGAGGAAGAAATAGATGCGGTGAGGACGCCAGTGAGAGGACTTTGCCTCTGCAGGTGGAAGGGAAGGCTCTGACAGCTTTGTGTGGGCAGGAGATAAGAGCTTCCCTGGGAAGGTTATTTTGACCTTTTCCTGAGATGGCTAATTGGGAAGGGATTTGGCTCCAGCCTTCACTTTCTTGGAAGTTTATTACTACTGTTATTATTTTAAACACAGGCATGGACATTTTATAGCTAGAAGAAACCCCAGAGTTCATGGTGGGAAGGGAGCAAAGGCAGGGTTTGTAAAGAAGAGGAAAAGGAACCTGCTCCCCTTGGGCTTGCTAGTTTGAAGGTGTGATTTTTTAATAGGGAACATTTACCATGAGAGCAGGTAGAAATGCTCTTTTGCAGCCTAAATTAAAAAGCCCAAATCCTGTTTTGCCAGAAACAGATCATGTAATTGTAAGTCTTTTGGTGGCATTTGGAAATCTACTCTATGAATCATTTTCTTAGTTCTGCAGACTGTGTTAACAAGTTAGGCAATATTTGTGACTGTGTATGTGCGTATTTCTTAGTGGATTTTAGTAATAAATGGTACTTTTAACCTCATTACAGAAAAAGGTTTTTTAACGTGTGCTGAACTTCAGAGTGTAGTGTGTGTTTCCTATATGAAAGGCATATCACAATAGCCTAATACGTTTATTGATTGATTACATGAAGCTCATGTGATCCTTGAAATAGCCATATGAGGTAGAGACTTTTTCTTGCTTTGTTACAGGTTAATAAACAGCCATTTGGCGATGGCAGTGGATTTTGCCTAATTTCATAGAACTGAAATGGGTGAGATTGAGATTTGAACTCAGATTCTAATGTCCACAGGGTGCGTATGCTCTGGAGGGAGCCTGGTAACCCAGGGCAGTCACATCGCACAGACCTCGGTTTTAAGTGCGTCAGTACGGGAGCAAGGTCTTACTGTAGCCGGTAATCAGACTTCCTTGGAAACGCTTCTGCGTGAGATAATGGTGCCCTCTGTCCTCTTCTGGACTCTCCCACAAGCTGATTATGCCTATTTGGTGACTATTAAAGGCTGCCAAAATTTCGAAAACATCACATTTACAATTTGAAACTTTAATCATTCCTAAAGATATATATAGCTTGTACTCAACTGTGGTAGTTCACTAGGCAGCTGCTGTAGCAAAGTACCACAGATATAGTGGCTTATACAGCAGAAGTGTATTTCCTCGCAGTTCTGTAGGCTAGAGATCAGGGTGTTCTTCTGAGGGCTATAAAGGATGATGGGGTCCCTGCCTGTGTCCTGGCTTTCGGTGGTTTGTTGGCAGTCTTGGCATTGCTTGGCTTACAGACACTCCACCCTGATCTCTGCCTTCAGGTTCGCAAGGCCTCTCAGTCCAAATTTCCCCCGTTTTATAGGGACACTAGTGTTAGACTAGGCACCCACCCTACTCCATATGACCTCATCTTAACTAATTATATTCTCAAAGACTCTTTAGAAATAAAGTCACTTTTGGAAGTACTGGGGGTTAGGAATTCAACATGTGAGTTTTGGGGGACACAATGCAACATATAACATTCACCATGTATTCTATGGAGAGAACAGAACTGGTGCACAATTCACCACTGAGCAAGGCCAGTCACCCTGTATGTGCCTGTCGTGAGTAACAGGGGCACAGAGCAAGGGAGGGGGCAGATTCCTTGCCCAGATAGAAGCCTTTGTTAGAAAATAGAGCTCAGATAGCAGTGCGGTGATTGGGGGCAGGGGTAGGGGGATGGAGGTGAAAGAGGGTATAAGGGAAGATAAGTGGTAATGTAAGAAAGAATAAAAAATGTAAACAGTACAAACAAAAATGATACAAGCAATTGGAAATTTTAACACTAAGGATTTGGTGGTATTAAGAAAGAAAATAGCACCTGTGGTCATGGAGGAGGATAAATACTGTCATGATAATGGTAATAATGAGCCTTTTGGATGGAAAGCCTTTTGAATATGAAATCCAAGGTCAAAATCCCAGCTATGACAGTTCTTAAGAAAGTGGACAAAATGTTTATGCTAGAAATTGATCTCTTAAACTCTTGCTTGAGGAAGCCATTGGCTGTGATCAGCTCTTGGTATTTAAATATGTGTGTGAATTTTATATTATTTATGTTGTCTGTAAAGTTTTAAGACAAATTCATGAGTCAAATAAGAAGTCCCTGAATTATAGTCAGTGTGTAATTTAGCAAAAGCTTTTGGAATTCATGTGGATTTGGGGTGGGTAGATGGTTAGTTGGTCATGATTAAAGATTTTCAGGGTTGGTTTTGTTTTGTTTGTTTGTTTGTTTATAGCCTCAAAGCCTCTTTCTTGCTTTGTAAGTTATGCAGGTTATTCATAAAGTAGCATCCTTCCCCCGAACTGCCATAGCCTAGGGAGACCATTTTTTTTTAAACAAACTTTTTATTTTAGAATAGTATTAGATTTACAGTAAAGATAGCACAGAGAGTTTGCATATACTTAAGTCTAGTGTAGCTTCTTCCCCCCACTACTGTGTCATAGTTTTCACAACAAAGGAACCAATATTAGTATGTTACTATTAACTGAACTCCACACTTGATTCATATTTCACTAGCTCCTCCCTGTTGCCCTTTTCCTGTTCCAGGATCTGATCCAGGATACTAATTACATTTAGTTGTCATGTCTCCTTAGTCTTCTCTGGGCTATGACAGTCTCTCAGACTTTCATTGCTTTTAGTGACCTTGACACTTTTGAGGAGTACTCTTCAGATATTTTGGTAGTATGTACCTCAGTTTTGGTTTATCTGATTTTTCCCCTCATGCTGAGACTGGAATTGTGCGAGTTTGAGAGGAAGATTATGAAGGTCGTTCTCACATTATATCAAGGCCACGTACTAGCAACAGGACATCACTGATTACCTTCATGTTAATCTGGTTGAGGCAGTGTTTGCCAGGTTTTTCCACTATACAGTTACCCTTCTCCCTCAGTGCTCTAGTCTGAGGAAGGAAATTATTAAGTGCAGGTCACATTCAAGGGAATGTCAAGAGTTAACCTCCAGCTCCTTGAGAGAAGACCATCTAGGCATTTTTGGTTCACTAAATTATAACCGGTCACCTAGGCATAAAACTTGTCTTGCCACTTTATCTCTATGGTTTCTTTCTTTGTTTACAAAGGTTTATAGATGATGAGTCCCTAGTCTAGGAAGGTTTTGCAGAGTGGTGAGGATTTTAGGGCTGCATTTTCTGACCTCAGTCTCTGTCTGATATGACGTAATCCCGATGAGGTGCCCTATCCACAGATCAGGATGCCTCCCCACCGGGAGCGCCAGGTTAACAGGGACCCCGGTGAACCGCAACTCTGAATATTTCGGATTTCTGGGTAGGTAAGGCTTTATTTCTTAAAGTGTCCAAAATGTGTTTGAACACTTTGACCGTTTTATATTGCAGTCCTGAAATGTTATATAATTTAACATTTTTTTTAATGGGTGTGCTAAAATGATACTGCCCCAATTTATAAGTTTTGTACAGCTTGTTACTCCTTCAGTAGAGGTCTAGGTTGTAGAACAAATTGAGTTTTGATCTGCTTTTATTGCATATTAAATCTTTTCTCTGTCAGCTCTCATTTCTTACAGCTCTCAGTTTGCCTGTCTCTTGCAGTTTCTGTTTTCTTTTGTTTTTTTATAACCATCGGTGAATTTAGAATCCAGACAACCACACTTACTCGGAATGTATAGAGTTAATCAGTATAATCTGAGATAAGATCTGTGATCTAAGCAGGTATAAACTGTGTGTTAGTGCATGGCTCTGCAACACAATTACGCAATTGCCAGGGGTTGTATTTGCATGCTTGCTGGTTTTCCCCTGTCCTGAGTGGCGAGATTGGTTGCGTTGCATTACTGTAATTTGAAACAGGCCTGTTGCAGGTAAACTGCTTTTCATAGTGCGCCCTAAACACATTGCAAGTGACTAGGGACCCTTGGTTCAAATTAATAAGAAGAAAATATGTAGATTTTGAGCCTTTGTAACCAAGATTTAAAGTTCACTGAGAATTTAAAATACAGAGTGATTCTTTTTAAAATAGTCCTCTAAGTACATATAATACATGTACTAATATACTATATATATAAAATATTCACTGCTTTTGAAAAATGACCAAAATGGAGGCATAATACTTGCATTAAAATTTTAAGGAAGCAACCATAGAATATATAATTTAAGGTGCTTGAATATTTATTTTAATTATACTTTATTGGCAAATTAGGAACACCCTATTCATAGTGTTGGAATTACAGATGGCACTTGTTCTGACATGAACTTGGTATTGCATTGCGCATGGTTAATCGGTGCACATCTATAGTATTAACACCAGCAGGAGATTACAGTGCCAGAGACTCTCAGACCAGGACATAGATGAATAAAGAAAAAGCTGATTAGAGCAGTCATACTTTTAAGGATAAAAGATTCCTTTTATTGATTCCCTTAATTCCTATAGTAATGGCTCGCTGAGGGAACGCTGTGCACAGAAGCATGAGGGCTGTCTAAGGCCAGGCTGGTGGTGAAACCACCGCCATATAATCGGGGCACAGGTTCCTGTAGAAAAGTATTAGTGATTATCATCTGCTGGTGGCTTTAGAGCAAAACAGGTGAATTCGAGGGGCGGCGTAGAGGTGGCTAGGGAGAGTAGTGGTGGGAGTTCATTCAGGACCAAGGAGCTTTCTGTAGCTTAAGAAGGTGGAAGGAAAAGCACCATGGGCTTTTAAGAATCCAGTGAGGTTAAATTCCTGTTTTCAGTAGTAATTTTCACTTTGTGGGAGGTTCATGTTAGACCCAAATTGTTAGAGTTGACCAACTACAGCAATCTGAAGCCTGGTATCCTAATACCCAGTTTTCATCTTAAGTCATTGACTTTCCTGATTTTGATAAATACGTTTGAAAACACAAACATCAAATTTATGTCTGTCCATTTAACAGTGATGATGTGCTTGGCATCATTTCATTGTAATTTTTCTGAACTCTTTAAGTTATTCTTAAAAATAGCATCATGATATTTCTATCCTGATGACAGGGAATAATTCTGGATTTGTTTCTGTCTGCCTTTTCAGTTTTATGTTCCATGGTCTCTACAACAGATTATTTTAAATTTTACTTTGTACGTGTAAGCAAGGCCATAATCAACTTTAAGTTTTTTACTGTTGTAACATTAGTTTTTATTATAAAAGTAATATATATTTTTAAATAGCATTCAGGAAATGTTTTTTAAATAGCACTTGGAAAATATAAGAAAGGTATAAAGAGAAAATATTACTAATACCCCTCACTATTAACTACTTATTGTTTTCATATATTTGCTTCAACTTTTTATTCACATTTTTTCATTATTGAAATACTGTTGAACAGTTCTCTGTTTTTTATTATTAACATTAGATCATAAGCATTTCTTTTTAGGTAGTGCAAATTTTTTGAGAACATATGTGCATATGCTATTTTAATTAGCTAAAAAAATGTTTTGTGAATGTGTTGAAATTTTTTAAGTCATTTCTGTATTGTTCGTCCTGGGCTTATTGCTAATTTTCACTATGAAAAGCAATTCAGTGAACATCTTTGTGGATAATTTTTTTCCTGTAATTTAAATCATTTCTTTTGGATAATAGTTGTAGAAATTGACTGGGTCAAACAATAGGAACAGTTTTCTTCCTTTACTGACCTCCATTGAAAATAAATGTCATTGTATAATGAGTGCTAAATCATTTTTTCTTTTCTTCAGCTCACTACCCTGGGAAATCTTACACCTTCAAGCACTGTGTTTTTCTGCTGTGATATGCAAGAAAGATTCAGACCAGCCATCAAGTATTTTGGGGATATTATTAGTGTGGGACAAAGATTGGTATGTTTGTTTATTTTTTCCAGTTTACTGAAGCATTAGCTACATCATATATACACACCTATATGTATTGCTAATTATCTTTGTGGGTTTTTTGTTTGTGTGTTCTTTTTTTTTTTTTCAGTTACAAGGGGCTCGGATTTTAGGAATTCCAGTTATTGTAACAGAACAGTACCCTAAAGGTCTTGGAAGCACTGTTCAAGAAATTGATTTAACAGGTGTAAAACTGGTACTTCCAAAGACCAAGTTTTCAATGGTACTACCAGAAGTAGAAGCGGCATTAGCAGAGATTCCTGGAGTCAGGAGTGTTGTGTTATTTGGAGTAGAAGTAAGTACCTTTTGTTAGGCTTTGGATATATCATTTGTAAAGAACTTGATTCCAGAATGCATTTTTGTATATAGAGTACCGTGTAGATGGTAATCATGATGAAAAATAGCCACCATTTATTAAGTGTTGACTCTATGCATGGCACTGATCTAAATACTGTGTGTATTCATTCATTAAAGTCTCATAGCAACCCTCTGAGCTAAGTACTCTTGGTCTCTTGTGTTAGTAGATGAGGAAACTAAAACACAGATGCTGTATAACTTGCCCAAGTTCATACATTTAGTTAAGGGATGGAGCTTAACTAAATGGAGCTGGATTTCAGTCTAGGTTGATGAATTCTTGGACCTTTACTTTTAACCATTGCTTTTGGAACACATTTTCACCAAAGGCATTATTTTTATGTCTTGTAGGATTTCACCTTGGATCACATTTTTGCTTCAAAAAATTTAGAAGTCATGTAGTTCATTGTCATTCACATTTGAAGCATATATATATATATATATATATATATATACTTTTTCAAGGAAAAAATACTCATGGATTCCTAATGCTGATTAAAATGATTTCTTTGTTTGTTTTTTGTGGACATGTGCAAATAGAATATGTGTTGATTTATAGCTTTTCAACAACTATTGAACTAAAAATTTTAGTTATTTTAAAAACTATGGAAGCAGTGAAATCCAAATAATATTAATTGAATACACTTCTGATGTTTTGATAGTAGGTTTTATCAGTAGAAAGATGTTTCAGGTTTAAGTGTATATGTAAATATCTCATTAATGACAGCCTAGACAAAGCCCATTTGTATAAATGTCACACCAGATGCTGTTGCTGACTTTCGCACTTTTTGGTCCTTCATCATTATCAGACCTCACACCTAATGAAAACCATCATTGGGCTGTCCTCCAATGCAAATTTTAATGAGATGTCAGTTGATAATTCTCCAGAGCTGTCCTGTTATATAAGGACAAGGTTGACATCATGGCATTATTGAACAATGTCTGCTTTCATTTGTTGTATAGTCCAGTTATCATTGGAGCATGTTTTTACTCTGTGTTTTCCACTAAATATTTACAAGTTTAGTACTAAGAGAGATGGAGCCTGTATAATATATTTGCTGGTATATATACTGGGTATTTTCTGCCTGTGTCACAAGTTATTTTTCACTTGGCCTACCTTTATTCCTGGGTGCCTTGTAACAGCTCAGTTTTCCCACTGCTTTCTCAATCTGCAGTACTGCAGACTCATCCTTTGTGTTAGGCACTTGGTGTGAATTCAGAAATAAACCCAACAGTGAGTGGCATCAAAACTAAGTGGTAGTCGTCAGCTGTATGAAGGTCATCCAGATGACATAGAGGAAAATCTTTTACAAATTTCTCACAGAGCTCTAAGAATATGGTGAAGGAGCCTATGATATAATCCAATTCTTGACTTTACAAGTGGAAACCAAAGCCAGAGATGCTGTCTACACTCAAGATCACTTAACAAGTTAAGAGGCAAACCTAGGTAGAGAAGAGGGTAGTACTCTCTCTGCTTTGTTGTGTGGTTGCACATTTGTAAGATACTTGCAGTTTACTGTGTTGTTATATATGATTTCTTGACTTCTCCTAGACTCACGTGTGCATCCAACAAACAGCTCTGGAGCTAGTTGGCCGAGGTATTGAGGTTCACATCGTTGCTGACGCCACCTCATCGAGAAGCATGATGGACAGGATGTTTGCTCTTGAGGTAATTGTCCCACTGTAAAATAAATCATTTATCAAGTCTTCCAAACAAGTTTGAGGGGCATTGAGTGTTTAACAATAATGAAAGATTTACCTCATAAATTTGAGCGTAGTTGAACAGTATCAGATTCACTGATTTCTGGAGTCTGGCCTGTGCGTTGACCAACCTTTGAGGTCTTGCCTCCACGTCCTGTTTTACATCTGTCGTCTCCTTAGGCTTAGATCACCTGTTACGCCAAGAGCTTCTTATATCTGTCATAGCTTTGCTGTAGCTTTGTGCATGAATTTAGAAGAATTCCAGTAAGCTTAATCTGAACCACTTAGAGATTTGCAAATTAAAAACAACTCCCCAAGGTTTAACTCAACCAAGATCTAGCCAAACCTGGGGCGTAGTGGGCCTAAGCCTGATTCAGCCTCATATTAGATGTCCCCAGACTTGAATTTCTGGGGACAGGAAGTGTGCCTGACTAGATACCACTGACATAGAGTGTCCCATGCCTCTCTGCATTAGAGTGTCAAGATGTGTATCACAGAATGGGGATTCAATGATTTTTTGTCAGTGTTGCATGACAGTAGTCTTACTTAAGCATTTTCAATTCCAAGACTATTGAAAAGCAAACTAGCACATAATCCTTTGAAACATCCACTCCATATTGTGGAGATCTCCTCGTCCCCTTTTTCTCTCCTTCCCTCCCTCTCTGTCTCTCTCTCATGTTTAATTCTAACTCTGTAATAATTTTTACAGTAATGTACATGTAGATTGAGTTGCCAAGTTCTTTAACTCATTATCCGTTCTCTATAGGGTTGCTAAGTCATCTTTGTAGCCTAAAGTGTTCCGTGGGGTGGTGCGCTAGGGCAGATGAGAAAGAGTCGGGCAGGAGGGGGACGGGTCAGTGGGGAGGGCTGGTGCACGAGCAGGTGGGGAGCTGGCTAGCTGCAGCGTTTGCTTTAAGGCCTGGTTGGCCATCTGTTCACTATTTTATTCCTGGAGCAGTGAGTCCTGTTTTGGGATTACAGGTGGATATAGTTTTATTAATTTCTGTTTAACTATTTTTAAGTGTACCTGGACTGTTGGATTCTCTGGTAGGTAGGTACTCTTGCTTTGTCTTATCTCAGCAAGGATCTTTAAGCTGTTCTTACAGCCATGAGTTAATCAACTTCCACTTTTCCCATTTCCTCAGTAACCTGAGTTTAAACACTTCCACTGTCAGATCCTCACAGCTCTTTTCCTCTGTGGATATTTATCTTTCTGGTAATGCTGAGGTCTAGAACTTGAAGTGTTTCCAAGAACGTAAAAACTAAAAACATACAAGGAACAAAAATCTTCCTTGCTTGTAAAGACATTTCAAGGACTTTTGTTCTACAGTCATGTAATTTTTTCAGACACGTCCTTATTATGGCATTTACTACAGAAGATTTTTCATATTTGGCAATCCTGTCTTCTCAGGAGACTCAGAATAAAAACATAGCTATTTATCATCTAAACCTCTTTCCTTGAGAGATAGTCTATAATCTCTGTGATTAGGAGTCCAAACAGTGGAGAGTTAATAATGGGTTTGAATTCAGGTTCTAGTATTTTGTAAATTTGTGCCCTTGGATAGGTTATCTAATATCTATGCCTCAGATTGCTCATTGGTGAAATGAAAATAATTGTGTGTGTGTGTGTGTGTGTGTGTGTGTGTCAGGGGGGAGGGATTGTGAGGATTAAATGAGATAACATATGGGTAGCACTTAGTACAGTGCCTGACACAGCAATCACAAATGTTTGCTGCCACTTTTATTTTTATTGTTGTTATTTGTTGTGGTCTTCATGAAGTTAGTCTTATCAGAAATGTAGAAGCAAGACCAGAAGGGACTAGGCCTGAGAAGTTCAAAGGAAGGAAGGAAGGAAGGAAGGAAGGAAGGAAGGAAGGAAGGAAGGAAGGAAGGAAGGAGGGAGGGAGGGAGGGAGGGAGGGAGGGAGGGAGGGAGGGAGGGAGGGAGGGAAGGAGGGAAGGAGGGAAGGAGGGAAGGAGGGAAGGAGGGAAGGAGGGAAGGAATACGATCTCAAGTGGGTTTGGAAGAGCATGAAGCAAACAGCATTGCCTTGGATAAAAGTGTGGAGGTTGAAAGGGAAAAAAGAATCAGGTTACGTGGTGATGGGGGAGATGTGCTACATTTCAGATTTTTTTTCTTAGTCTGAATTTGATATGGTGGTGTTTCGGTTTGCCCCTAAATTATTGAGAGAAACATTAATTTTTTTTGTTTGTTTTATGACTGTGAAAGTTAAATAGCAGTCTGCCAGTGCCTTCTTTCTCTATTCCTTTAGAGCACAACTGCTGAAGATAATTCCTGAGACCACCCATATTGCCTGTTAAGATTATTATACTGATACAGTTTATAGTTACCATTACTGAAACTTCTGTGCCAAGGGTCTGTGCTACATACTTTATTCAACAGAAATTTTTGAGCACCTACTTTCTATCTCTAAGGCATTGTTGCTTTCCACTAATAATTGTAGAGTTAATGCAGAATAAAAGAGAATAAAACCCTCTCTTGAAGTTGATGTCTTTGTACTTCTGGGGAGTCGTTAATGTTGCTTGGAAATCTGATGGGTTTGTCCCTTTCTTCCTTTGCTCACTTTGAGGCTGTCAAGGCTGTGTGCTCCTGATTTTCCAGTTTGTAGGTCAGAGTAATCATTCCTTTCCTTTGGCCTAGTTGGACTGATGTCGCAAGTGTGAGGAAAAAATATTGGAAAAGAATTAGCCACGCACCCACATTCAGTTAAAACAGCTGGAGTTTTAATTGCCCCTGTATAAGCCAGGAGAGAAAGTGAGTTTGGAAGCAGTATTGTAGGTGTCCTCATAGCTCGGGGTGGTGAGCAGGAACCTGCTGGTGTCTGGAAAAGCTGCTGCTGTTCCCTCCCTGCTCAGGTCCCCTTCCAGGTGGGGGCTGGGCAGGCACTGTGGGAACGTCCACGAGCCTGATTTAAAAACTTTCCATTTTGCTGAGCCATACCTGCCCATACACAGGTTGTTGGCTTGATTATTTTTGAATGTAGTCAGTATTGGCCATATGTCAGTCTTGAAGCTAAGTAATATTGTGCAGGTTTTAGTTTACTAAAGTGTGTTTGTGTGTCTGGAGCATCCTGGCCCAGCCTGCCACTGCGACCTGATTCTGTTGGGCCTAGAGGGGACTGGGCTTGGGTCAGCAGAGCACTGGGGACACTGGCTCTTCCTGCATCATCACATTTCTTCCACAGACCTGGGAACAGCTATCTGTCCTTCCTGCCTCACTAAGGAACTAGAAAGGTTAGCGACCACTGACTTTTGTGGGTATTTTGGAGTTTCTAAAGCACTTCCACTAACATTGAATGTGTGTGATTTGGATTCAGACTTGATACTGAGTCTGTTGATTCAGCGATGAGCAGTAAGGAAAGCAGGGCAGACCAGCCAGTGCGGGGGTGGGGGAGCTGGGGCGGGGCGGGGCGCTGGGTTTGAGTGACTGGACGTACACAGCCAAGTTGCAAATAGCCTTACATTTATTCCCCGCCCTTCTGTGTGAAGCAGGCACACAGTCTTTTGAGATTTCTTTTTTTTTCAATCCTCTCCTGAGGATCTTACAGAGAGAGAGGAAGGAGAAAGGAAGAAAGAGACAAACATTAATGTGAGAGAGAAACATCCATCGATTGCCAACCATGTGTGCCCTGACCGGGGATCATACCTGAAACCTTTTGGTGTACAAGCTGATGTTCCAGCCAACTGAGCCACCCAGCCAGGGTGCAGTCCTTTGAGATTTCTAATGGTTTTGATATGGTAGTCAGGAGCTGACCGAAAAGCAAGGAAGAGGAAATTCATTTCCAGAAGTCTTTAAAAAACTCAAGAGACAACTTACTCCTGACATAAAAGTCACCAGCAGCCTTGCTTTTTTTTCTTCCTCTTTCCTTCATTTTTCCCTGATTTTTTTTTTAATTTCTTGAGAGTTCTGGTCATCTGCTCTGTACTCCCTGCTCTCTGGTTGTCGAGGTCCAAGCTTGCTTTCTCATAAATAAGCTCTGGCTTATACTTCCCTCTGCATCCTTGGGACAAAAAGAAAGGGTCTGTCAGTGGGAAGGCTGGGCCTGTGGCTCTGCAGCCCCCTGAAGGAGGATTTGCTTTTGCTCACAGAGATGTCTTGGCTCTTCAAGCTACTCTTTTCTGATGAGAGACTGACCTGGGTTTTTTCCGCTGATTTGCCTAGAAATTTTTCTAACCACCTCATCTTCCATGGTTCTTACATTGGATGTTTTTTTAGACAACAGTTGGCCCATTTTATTGTTGCTGTTGTTTGATTTTTTTTTCTGTCTAGGGTTTGTGATAACAAATACATCTAAAAAATGAATCTCTACTCAAGAATTCTCTCCTCATCTCCCTTTTCCCTTCACCCATCCCATTTTCTCCACTTTATCCTCTTTGCCTTCCTCCAGCCTTCCCCGCCCCCCACTCTTCCTCCAGTTTCTATCCTTAGTTCTTTATTATGTTTCCACTGGAGCAATTTAGCAAGAATGTTCTTTGACCTGTCAGTGAAATTACACAAACTTAACTTTTATACTTTGCTTTAGTGATTCTAAAAAGTTAATGATGGGGGCAGCAGTGGTCATCATCCAGGGGCAGTTTTTAAACCTCACATGAGGCTCTTCTACTGCTGGTCATTTCATACTGGGTGGAAGGACACAGGTGCTCCATGTCACAGGTTTGTAGACAGAAAAAAGAAATGAGAATCATTGTTTTAAAGTCATTAGCCTTGATTTCCTGTCTACCCCTGGCTGTTTTCTTTTCCTTGTTTCCAGCCCATAGTACTAATATTGAGAATAATCACAGTGCGTGTGAAGCGTGGTTAGTTTGAAGTCTGTCCCCGTCACTGAGTTTGATAGTATGCCTAAGGACCATGGTTTTAATAGACAATACTAATTATTGTGTCCCAGCAAACTTTTTGCTGTTTTAACATAATGTTTATTCTCATGTGTCCTTCTTGACTTGTCTTTTTCTTTTGTAAAGCGTCTAGCTCGAACTGGGATCATCGTGACCACCAGCGAGGCTGTTCTGCTACAGCTGGTGGCTGATAAAGACCATCCAAAGTTCAAGGAAGTTCAGAACCTAATTAAGGCGAGTGCTCCGGAGTCGGGTCTGCTTTCCAAAGTATAGGACGTTTGAAGGATGCACACTACTCACCATTAGGTGACAGGACTGCAAGCCCAGACAGGCTCTTGTCTCTACTAGAATTAAAATGTTAAGTCAAAAGTAGGCTCTTTCTTTGCGCCTCTTAGTAAATCTTAACCAGTTAGACCATTTGGGTACCAGTATTTAGTTATAAACGTCAAAGGCTTCAGGTGCTGCTTATCTTCTTTCTTTCTCAATGCGCTTTTATTTATTAAAAAACAATTATAATGGAGGTGCCTGTTTCATCTATACTGTGTACATTGACCGTAACTTCCAAAAGTGCACTCTAGTGAAATTTTCTTAAATTGTATACCATAATGAAAAAGAAGTACTGATAATAGTTTGACTTTTGTATTATTGTAACATGTATGTTAAAACATTAATGTGGATTCAGTGCTTTTACTTTACAGATGGGTTGAAATGGGATTATTATGTGAGATTTAAAAGCAGGGCTGTGATTTATGCTTCCCTTTCCCATCATAATGCTGTCAGGTTACTGAGTTGCATTCATCTAACCAGATGAAATTATATAATGAATCATTTTATCGTTTTTGATTATACTAATTTTCTTACTTTGGTCACCATCACTAGTTATCTGTTAATGTTCTCTTTTTTTTAGTTGAATCTTTTCCTAGAGAGACTTGTTGGGTCACTGTTTTAATTTTGTAAACAGATGAGAAGATTTGCCATGTTATGTAATTACTGGAATGCTGTTTTAAAATCTTTGAAGTATTACCTTAGCTGAATATCTTTACAAAAATCTTGACTGTATCTTCTAATATGCATAAGATTTACCAAAAAGATAAAGGCTGGATAAAATGTAGGTTTAAATGTTCATGTTTTTGTTTTGATATTTTCTCCACCTACCCTCCAGTTATAAAGGCACCAGTAATGATTTGTTAGTATTAATTTTTTAGCCATTGCTATTCTTCAATAAATTTATTTTCATTAAATACTTATTAGAGGGTTTTAAAACTTTTTAATAATTATGTGAAATATGGAACATTGCTGTCTTTTATATTAAAATAATTAAAGAAAATGTATTATGTGAATGAAATTATTTTGTCCTTAGAACAAAGCTCTATGAGGACTATTCCAGGGATTCTAATATTTATTTAAAGGTATAAAATTTTTTGACATTTATTATCTTTCAACCCATGGGAATGTCCAAAGAAGGGAAACTCTTTGCAGGCCGGGGCAAATGCATCTTACTGAAGAGCCTTCTTCATGATTCAAGAGCAGGAGATAAGTTTGTTCTGGCAGTGGTACCAGACAACGACCTAGCATTCTTTTTGTGGTGTCCTTAAATTTTTTTTTCCAGCAACCTTGTGTGTCAGAAGTATCCAAGATTTTTCCACATTTTAAAGTAGTTTTTAATAAATCTAACTTAGTGCTTTTCAAACTTGAATATGAATGCAGATCACCTGGGGATCTGGTTAAACTGCTGGTTCAGGTTCAGTAGGTCTGGGGTCCAGCCTGACACTGAGTTTCCAACAAAGGCTGGTTTATACCCGTGCTGTTCAGAAGGGACCACACTTTGAGTAGAGTGACTTGTAACAACACCTGTTTTCCTCACTGCACCAGGCCCTTCATTTCTCATCAAATGCCACCACAGTGAAGCCTTTTCAGAGCTAAAACCAACTCTGACCCTCAGTTCGTTTTCTATGGCCACAATCACAAATTACCACAAATTTACTGGCTTAAAACAACACATGGTTAGTATGTTACAGTTCTGTAGGTTAGAAGACTGAAGTGGCTCTTACTGGCTTAAATCCGTCTTTTCCACTAGATTTCAAGCACCCAGAAGCAGAAACCTGTAAAATTCCTATACTCATTCCGGAAACATGTGGGAACCTAGTAAGTTCTAAATATTGTGCTATGTGTTTAGGATAAAAAAAAAAAAAAAAGCCCCTCGGAAACATAGTCTGGTATAAAATCTGATATATCAATAGTATGACCTCTTGGTAAATGTGAATTGAATTAAGTTATGTCAAAGAGTCAGGAATGTCAAATCAAGATTAAAGTTCAGGGTAGCATAATTGTGAATTCTGTCTTCTTTTTTGCAGATTATGCAAAAATGGTGACAGGACATTATTTTAGGAAAACTGAATTGATTTTAATACATTAGGCTTTGAACTTGGAAGTGTCTGTAATTTTGTAGAATAAGACTCTTTTAACTGATGTAAATAAAGAACTTGAAAACATAAGCAAAAGAATAGTCCAGTGCATAGAATGGCAAGGGAGTTAGGAGCAGGATCAAAACACTTCATTATTGAAATGCTAAAACATCTACAGAAACTTTAACTAAAATTAAAGTCAAAGATAAATTATTCTAACCAGGAAACCAAGTACCATGTTATATCCATTTAAATATCACATTTCTCTAGTGAGGTGGAATATTTTCCCTTTTTCAAAGTTGATATTTGGGTAAATATAGCTTTAGAAGCTGGGTGGAACTTTAAAGATCATGACCTCAAAGGTCCAATTCAGCTGTAAATTCTGAACAGCAGACCTCTCAGTCAAGAAAGGGTATTTTTAGAAGAGATACAAATCTAAGATGGTGGTCAAGTCAAATAACCTGTAACTTCTGTTGGAGAGATTGTGATCCTGATTTGCCTGCTGTTGGAGACAGAATTCTGAAATGGCCCCCAAGGTTCCCATTCTGGTGTGCGCACATGTCCCAGTGAACGCTAACCTCTGTGCAGCTGTAGGGGATTTTTGCTCAGGTAATTAAAGTCTCAAATCAGTTCAGCCTAAGATAGAGAGCCTTTGTGGTCTGGAGCCAATCAGGTGAGCTGTTAAAAGGGACTGGCTCTTCCTGGCAAATGGGATTCAGCGGGGAAACTCCACAGCTGACTTTGAGAAGGAGGGAAGTCCAAGGCTGTGGATGGGGGCAGCTAGCAAGGAAACAGGGACCTAATCATAAAGAACTGAATTCAACAACCAACTGGGATGAGTTTGGAAGCAGATTCTCCCCAGAGCCCCCAGGTAGGAACACGATGCAGCTGACATCTTAATTTCTCAGCCTTATGAGACCCTGAGCAGAGAAGGTCTTGCGGTGCCTGGTCTTCTAGCCTTCAGGGTGTGAGGTAATAAATCTCTCTGGTTTTAAACTGCTAAGTTTATCCTTGTTACACAGCAACAAAAAGCTAGTACACTTGCTTTTTGGGTTTCTTGTGTTGTTTTTTTTTCTAACTTGTAGTCATATTTATATAAAGAAAGGAAGGTGGTAAGTATGATGCCATCAAAAGAATAAAATAAGCCTATTTTTAATTCCAGTTAGCTCTTTTTGTTTCCAGAAAAGTGGGGTGGAGGCAGGGAAAATATATTTATGTCCTATAGTCCATTGTGTTAATAGAGATTTTTTTTATTGTAAAGTTAGCTTTTTGTATCTTTAATTGTAGAAAATAGTCAACTTAGATCACACTTGCCATTTCTTAATATAATTGTTAGTTGCACAGTGTATTTTACTACTCAACTCTTAAAGTCACTTGGCTTTGGATTTGTTCATTGTTCTTGCAGCTGCTTCCCTTCTAAATTGTTCCTCCCACTCAGACAGTAAATGCAAGAAATGAGAGGTGGCATGTCTTAGAACTGGTGGTTAATAGCAAGTACTCATTGTTAAATGTATGTTGAATATATGCAGCTTTGAATTGGGCTTCTGGAAAATGCATATTGTTCTTTCAAAATTGCCTGTATGGCAGCCCCAACTAAAAATGTGAGATGCTTTATAAGTTGTTGGAAATGTGGTTATTTTTTTCCAAGAAATTAAGACCCTAAAGAACATGGGAAATATATGAATGAAGAACATAGGTGTCAATTGGTAGCCACTAACCAAATGTTCGCATCCATTTGTTTGTATTGTCTGTATACCAATAAGTAAGTTCTTTATTCTTTTGGAGGATTTGGCAAAACTTAAACACTCTGCGCCCCATGATGTCAATATTGGATTTCAGCAACTTATTCCTGCACGTAGGCAACATGGATTAGGTCTAACACTGTGTGTCATCACATGCACATATGCACATACCTTTCTTTTCAAATTAAAAAAGGATGGTTGGGCTTGTTGGAGAAGGGAGTTGGCAGGAAAGAAAAAAAATGGAGGATTTTCCTTTTCATACTGGGGAAGGTCAGTGGCTCCGCGAGGCATTGTATAATTGAAGGCATTGAAATCACAGTCATGGCTCCATTCTTAATAGCTTTGATACTTGGGGAAAATGTCATCTCTCAAGGTTCCCATAAACAACATGGAGAAATGGATAAGCGTTCAAGGCTTTTAGACACCCAGGGAGACATGTAGGTGTGAGAAACTCCCGGGGAGGGGTGGAGAGACTGTATCTCCAGACAGACAGATGCAGTGTCCTGGAAGGGCAAAAAGTCTGGCAGGGCTCTGGTTCTTGCTTGTCCCAGCTCTCTCTGCAGCCGCCTTGAAGCCTTTCTGAGAGATCTCTGAGGTTCTCTCATACAGGAAATGGAATTGGATGAGATGACAAAAATGGCCTACCTTTTCATCTAAATACTAGGTGTTACACTTTTCTGCAAACTGTCATTTAATGTAAGAGTTTTCAGACTGCCTCTGGCTAAAAACAGCCTCAGCATTGTGCCATAACCAAGCAACACACAGTAGGCTGATTGCCCTCAAGTGCTAAATGGATACTACAGAAGAGAAAATGAATCATTGTAACTGTTCGATCAAGGGTGCCCTATCTAATTTAAAGAGAACTATACCTTAGAAAATGCAAAACTAAGAAGTACTACCTCACTGTCTTTGGTAACCATAGAAAATCCAATGATTGAACAAGGCATAACGGTGTTGTGAGCATTTAAAATATTGTCTTTGTGGACTGTCTCGATTAGCTTAGAGATTTTATATTGTCTGCATTGTTTGAGATGGGCTTCTTTCCCCCCAAGGACAGATGAATGAGAGCTCATTGCTTAGTCTTTTGAAATGCATTTTATAGATTTTCATTTTAGATATTGGAATAAATTCTATGAATACAAATTTGCTAAATAGTACTATGCTTAGATAAGCGTGGTTAGTTGAATCCTCTCACAATAGGTTTCACATCTCTTTACCCTTTGAAAAACTACTGAAAGACATAAAATATAAATGAAAGCTACTTAGGAAGGCAAGGCATTAAATTATTTTAGTCTACATTAACTTACAAAATAGCAAAGCAATTTCTAGAAAAAAATCAATCTTGCTATCATTACTAATTGTTAGAATTTGGATTGTACACAAATTCTATTTTGTCTAATTGAAATGTGGAAAATTGTAAGTCCAGGTGCACAGAGATTTATTTATATTAATATCATCCAACAAAAGCTCTCGATCTGATAGACTAGCAGCATAGGTTCTGAAGTATTTTAACACATAAGAAATATGATACAAGCAGACTTTGCTACCAAGAGCCCTCTGGGGTGAGTATGTACGGGTTTATTTGTTCACTCTTGCAGCACTGCTCTACTGATTACTTACCTTGTGAAAGCCTCCCCACTGGGAACAGTCTAGAGAAGAGCGAGCTGTTGTTTCTGAAGGGAGTCAGTGGAGTGAGACAAAACAGAGGGCACACAGGTCATTACTACAAATAGGAGGTAACGTTCTCCCCAGATGGGTTAGGGCTTTTTAAATCCAGAGCCTTTTCATTGTAATCCTTTCTGGTAGGATTTGTTTGTTTGGTGGGTGGTTGGTTTGGGTTAATTACAAAATATTTCCTGGCTTCTTTTAATAATAGGAAATTTTGGTCCAAGGATAGAGTCTCTTAAAGGAGGTTATAGTCTAGTTGTCTACAAATTGCTGCCCAATGCGCTCTGGACATACCCGGCTCCTGTGACCAGGTGAAGGGCATAGGTTCAAAATGGGTAATGATACAGCAGCTTGACATGGACTGAGTACTTACTATGAGCCAGCACTTTGCTTGGTGCTCTATGTCTATTACCTACCTGGCATGGCCTTGTCAGGTTGTCCCTATTATCCTCACACACAGAGGTTAAGTACCTGGAGCTGGGAGTAGGAGTGGCTGCACTCTGATGTATGCT